ACAAACACAACAGGCATTAAAGGCAGGAGGGAGAGAGGTGGGCTTTCAAAGCAGAATCCCTGCACAGCAGAGTTTCATAAAGGTTTCACTAGACTTAATTAAAATTGGGAGAAGTCAGATAAACATTAAAGATTTTTTGTTCTGGGATTATTTTCCAATAGGAGCAAATTAAACAACCCACCTAATCTTAAAACACAGCTTTCTAAATTAACAACAAAGGTTAAAGGAAGCATTTGCCAAAAAAATTAGATGATGGGATTTGATATAGAGTAGATCTTCTACAATTTAATCTCCAGATTTCCCAAGTCAGTCAATGTATCTGTAGTATAAGGATGAGGGAAGCCTGAGCTGGGAAGTGACAAAAAGGTAGAGTAAGAAAAAAGGTAACAACTACAAAAATAAAGAAGGGAAGAAAAGTGAATAGGAAAATTTAGATACTGGGGAAAATAGCTGAACAGAGCAATTATAGAATAAAAGGTATTACATAATATGTAATGCTGCAAAAGGGAAAGAAAGTAGAAAGCAGAAAGATAGAAACAGTAAAGAATTTTCCTTTCCTTTGCATTTACAAAGCATAGTTTTCTGCTATAAAGACAGAAAAATACTAAAATACCTTTTTAAATGTTAAAATGCAATAGATAGTTTATCACCTATACGCATGTGAGTTGACTTTGTCAAGAGAGAGGATTTTCCTGGTGGCAGGATGTGCAGCCACTAATACCAAAGTGTTTCATAAGGACCAGAAAGAACGAAACACAGAGTCCTCTGCTACCCTGTACCTGATCCTCCCAGATTGAAAATAAAGTCTTGCAGTCCACCTGAAGGTGAGCTCCTCTGTCTTTGTTGGATGAGAGAGCTCCTTCCCCCATGACTGTCTTGTTTCAGCCACCAGCCTGCCACACCTGCCCTTCAACAAGCTATTGCTCTGGCACCTCCTGAAAGCCCTCAAATTCAATGCAGTCTTGATTAAATACTTGTAAGGAAAGGATTTCTCAAAAACCAGAGTGATTTGGTCTCTCCCTTTGAACCAGGGATGCTATATAAATAGGTTTACAACTGAATATCTGCTACACAGCATTTCCCTTCAAATATCAAACCAGACCAAACCCAGTGCTACATTAGACCATTTGAGGACTTATCAGGAACCGTTTTGTGATTAATTTATACATCCCTTGTATATTACACATGCTGTTCCTCGGGACATCACATTTCACATATTGCCCACCTGCGCCCTCAGGTCTGCAACAGAGGAAATGTTCAGCTGACAACTTGCATTTCCTTTACACCCCATGGCTTCGGGGAGCTCTGCTCCTCAACAGTGCCAGGCTCACAGGAAACATTTCCCTCAGCCCTAAAACATGCAAGGGACCTCAACAGCAATGAGGGGCTGAGCTGCAGGGCATCAATGCCACATTGGCACTGGAGAAAGGCAGTAAAACATGGGCTATAATAAAGGTCTTGAGTGGAAAACTTGCTTCTTTTTGAATTGGTGTGAAATATTGGAAACTGTCTCCCAAGCTTAAATTGTTCTCCAGCAATAGGCACAGAATCCGGATAAGAAATTATTTTTCTTGAAAACCCAAATGATTTGTAGCAGGATTCTGTCTTCATAAATATTCTTTTATTATTGTGGGTTTTTTTCCCCAAACACGCAATAAAAGAGTGAGTCGTAAACATGTAGGAATACTGCTCCTCATTTCCTTTTGGGCCCCCAATCAGGAAATGTTGAAAATCAGTGTTGGTATTGCTGAAGATTAATGGCTACTGCTCAGAAACCATACAGAAAGAGAATATATTCCTGCCAGGACAAATACATAGGCCATTGGACAAAAATCTGTGAACCACAGATAGTATTATATCATCATTGTAAAGATCCACACTGCCTGTCTTACTCTGTAATTAATAATATTCACATGTGGGTTTGACTGAAATCACTGTAACAACCAGGCAAATTAATTCCATGCCTTCATGGTCCAATTTAATCTAACAGCATTTGAAGTTTTCTTTTCAAATCAGCTTTACAGTATTTAAAAATTAGATTTTTTCCCAGGTATAGGAAGCAATCCTTCATGGATTTTTTGCCACTATATGTTCAATATGGGTTTAGAGACCATGTAATCACTACTCTTTTTATATTAACAGATCTCACAAGAGAAAACATGCTCCACTGAGCTGCAGGGACATTAAAATAATCCCTGTCATCAGTTCATTTGCTTCCCACTCTCCTTCAGACAGGCTGTACTTAAGAGCTCTCCTGCCATGTATATTGGGACACATTCTCATCACCACAGCTTCTGTAAACTTTTTCTTCCCTTTTGTTTTCTTACAAAATAAGGCATAGACTATGGTGACCTCAGATGTTTATGAAAAGCTTTCCTTCTCTATATTCAGTAAATGTGCAGGGTCCAGCCAGGAAACGTGAAGACAGGCAGAGCTGAGTCCAACTTGGTTCTAGAAGCTAAAGCACAGGCAAGCTACCTGAGGGTATTATAATTTTAAAAACCAATCAAGGTAAAAATGAGGACACAAACATCATTTCCAGGGTACTTCTCCATGGTTTTCTGCAACGTTTGACTTCAAAATGAAGAGATGGGGCATCAAGTTGTGAAGTCCTCAATATTGATACCAAGATCAATGTGGGATGGGTCTATGTTGTGAGATATTAGCTCACTGTTTGAGGGTTCCAAGGCAATGTCACCACAATTATGGTATTTTATCCCATTTTTTTAAATTTAAAAAATAATGCATCTCCCTACAGGTACAGCCCGATGTTATTCTCAAAACAAATTCTTCTTACATATGCCTAGATAATGCTTGCTTTGCCAGCATTGAAATGGCTTCAAAATAAATCCTAATATGATTTGTCAGTCCAACAAAATGCCAGCCAGCCACCAGAGATGTCTGAAAAGATCTGAAAATAAAAAGCCATGAAATGACTCAGTGCATTAGGTCACTGTGACAGCCAGGAGGTAATACCAGAGTATTTGCTTTGGCTGGAGCCTTCCTTGGCTCATCTTCCTTTGTAGTGTTAAAGCCAGGCTCTCATCTCAAGCCAAAGTGCTGTAGCTTGCCCACTTCAGAAATGGGTCAACACAGGTACCAGGGAAATAACTAAATGTGGGGTTGGACATGAAATTAAAAACTTGTGTGGATTAAAAATAATTATTCTCTTCCCTGCCTGGCTGCAAGGAGCAGAAGAACAGATGCACTCCACAGCTACCAGTGTGGGTGTCCCCATACCTTGCTGTCATGCCAGGAAGCTTCAGCAGTGCCTGACATCTCTTTGGGGTCTGTATGTATGAAAACCCCCAAAAGTATTGTCCAGGATCTATTCCCATCATTCCCACAGGGAAAATGAGAACATGGGCAGTCCTTCAAAGGTTGTGTAACTACCCCACAAAGTAAAAGACTACGGTGAAGAACGGGAGAATTACTCAGGCAATAAAGATCGCATTTATTGCCACACAGGAAACATTAGTGACTTTCTTCACCTCCCCTTTCCAGACCACAAAGGTGACTTCAGGGTAAAACTTTGTGAACAACACGACCATGATACATTTCTGTTGAGGTTTGGCTCTGTTCACCACAGAAGCTGCACGCTAGCTCCTTCTCTAAGGAAATTACATACACAAGATTTTGAATAAAGTCAAATGAAGCACAATAAAAATGGTTACTTTTCTGTAATGATCATTTCTCTTTTCCTCTGCAAGATTGCATTCAACATATTTTCTTCCTTTTTTTCCCCTGCAGGTTTTCATTGTAAAATGACCATTCTCCATCTTTGGCAAAATTATTTATTTTGAATGCATATTTCTTGTAACTTGACAGTAGTTTCTGACAAACTAGAGGTGAATTATGTGCAGAAAAAGTGATAGTGATACTTAGTGAGATGGAATCTCAGAGTTGTGCTAATGGTGACTCATGTACCAAAGAAATTAACAGAACAATTGCTTCTTGCAATCAGATAAGATGATAACAAGTTCAACATTAAAGTAATAATGTTATGAATGTGGGTTTCAGGGGAAAAGTAAAGCCTTCTATGAAAAGCTAAATAGTAATGGTTAATTGGAATAAAGGGATTAAGACAAAATGTTTCACACAGGTCGGGTGGCTTTTTTCTGCTTGTCCATAGGTTCTGTTAAAAAGGTCACTAAAGTACAACCAAAAGAATGTATGATTTGAAAAGCAGTCCTACTACAAAAGGGGATAAGTTTTGAAAAGCCACAAGTCTTCATATTGACTTTTTGAAATACTACATTTCAGTTTCTTATTTTGAAATTCTCTGGAGGCTCACACTAGAGAGAGTTCAATGATGTATTAGCATTAAAGAGAATCTCAAAACTGGACAGACATTTGGGGACAAGTTAAGTGTAAAATTAGGCTGACTGCCATCAAGGACTTACTACTGGGCTGAATTAACCTGCAAACCTGGACAACTGAGAAAGCTTTCAAGCAAGCACTACTCCAAGTAATAAAACTACTGGATCTTTGAAAGGCAAGGAATGTGCAAAGCACCGGACTCCTGAAATCAGACAGGACAAGCAGAGCTTTGGCTGAGGCCTCAGTAACATCTAAATATGCAAAAATTCCAGGAGACATCCTAAGTCCATTTTCAGTATTCCTGACTTGTATATTTGCCTCTTGAATATTTTCAATAATGATTGTAATTACATTCCCTATATTTACTTGTCTTCCCCCGCTCCTTCTTCCCACCCACCACTGATTCCCCTGTGGTTGTTTTCAGCCTCACCTGCAGATTCATATTTGTTTGTCAGGTGTTTCTTTGACAGGTGTTTATAATTTATCTTGCTTGGGTAGCTGCAGTGGTAAATAAAGCATCACTTAAAACTACAGCTGTTAAACACCAACTACCACTGCTCGCTCCTTGTGGTCCTTTGCCTTAAATATGGATGTTCCTGTTAGTTGAGCCCTGTGCTCTTTGGACAGCCTAAAAATAGATAGGTACATAGAAAATATGGTTTAGAAGATGTTTCATTTACCTGCAATTCTCCTTCCATTATACTGAGTAGTTTTATCAAGTCTTCTTTAGAAAGCTCTATGGACTTCTTGTTCTTTCGCTCACTAGGACCGGGTGATTTTGAGTGCCGTTTGACAGTTGCTGAAACCATGACCTCATCTTCCTTCCGATGAGGTTTGTTCTTTTTCTTGGCATCCTCCTGAAGTTTTTCATTCTCTGCGTGGCTGATGACAGGCTTGGAACTGGAGAAGTGCCCATTAGACGAGCTTTCTCCACCTTGGTTTCGGGACCTCATCCCTGCCTAGAAAGAAACAAACATAAAGATGCATTTGTAAACAAAATTACTTACAAATAAGAAAGCCACAGTGGAAATACTGCCTGTGGTAAGAACAACAGTCTTCTAAAAACTGAAGAACACTGTCACACTCAAGAGACTGCGGTAGAAAGCTCAACCATTTTAACAACTCTGTGTGTGGCAGAAAAAAAGTCCCGAGGTAAGGTTAGCCATCTTTTCCAGCAAGCCAAATGCTGATATGAGTTTAAATGTATGGAACCTAAAATTGATGTGGGACAACATGTTCCAATGTTTCCTTTTCTTCAGCTGACATGTTGATCATTCACAATTCAACACTACAAAACAAAGCAGGTTGTCAAATAGATCTTATTTAACATGTGGCTTACTTGAGAAACAGAAATGCAATTAAATTTTTGAAAGGCATATTGCTGGAGTAGAAATTCTCTATTAGAGTGGAGTGCCAAAGCATGACCAATGTCAGTCTGCCGTTTCTCTGAAATAAGCAATGATTTTACTGCAGGTAACCATGAAAAATGGAGAATACAGAGTAAATCAGGTGGCAAATACTGCACAGGATTATTAGACAATAAGTTCCATAAAGGAAAGCTGAAAAGAAGTTTGAAAAATGAGCAGAAATGGTATGAAATCACTAACAGGTAAATGGGCAATATCAACACACTCTTTCCAGAAGATTCAGGGTTTCTTCAAAAGTCTCATGGTTATTCAATGCTCACATTTCTGTCTTCTTAAGCACCTACATTAAGTCTTAGACCGTGACAGCAAACATTTCTCAGTCCCTTGACCAACTGTACTGCTAAACTTTTATAGCAATAAATCTAATGAAAAAATATTCCACTGCTTCCAAGTATTTCCTCTCATTTAAATTAATCTCTGGTATTAGTTTGGAGTTTGTTCATTAGTCAAAGGGATGCTTTTCAACACCAATAACATCACACACACTTCTGATAAGGAGGTCAGAGCAGCAGTTCACTAGTGAGGGAGCAAAACCTAAAATACATTGACTAATCAGCTTTGCTAAATTACACTGGGTCTGCAGTGGCTTGCCCATGTACTTGACTCAGGCCAGCATTATAAATCTCTTGCCACAATTATCCTTGCACTTTTGTAGTTTTACACTCAGCATGAAGATTGTCTTTTTATTATGACTGGTTACTCATGTCCTCACTAATTCAGTGTAATTCATCCAGCAGCATAAACGGGGAGAGAATTAGACCCTATATTTTGGAGTGAGAGAGTTTCACAAAGAGATTCCTTGCATTGTAGGCCTGCTCTTATCCAAACAATATGTGATACAGGTATACAATGGCCTTTAGCTTCCTGAATGCTTATGCAGGGTGTTTTTCATCAAACAGTTTGGATTAAATACATGAATTACACTTTCTAAAAACAGATCTCCATTATAAGCATGAACAATACCTGAGAACCTCAGGAAATCTTTTAGGTTTCAGATTTATAATGGAAAAATAAACATAGTACTATGTTTCCTCTCAGATAGGGCTTTTCAATTTGTTTAACTTTAATGGGTTTGAAACTTTCCAACCATGCTTCCTCTCAGGAGAGAGCACTTGGGATTCAATCTGTCTCTATTTTCTAAGTGTTTCCTTCTGAGTCCCTGTGGGTCACAGCCTCCAGCTACTTTCATCTCTAAACCAAACCTATTTTTTATGGCTTACAGTGAATAGCTTCATGGATCCAGGACATCCCACATGTTTTAAGAACAAATATTTGAAGACTGTCTTGTATATGTTTTGCAGTAGAAACCAGATTATTACAGTATATTACAGTATGCCTAGTAACGTGCCATTTTAGAGATTTCTCTGTAGTAAGGTGACTCAACTTATAGACATGAAAGTGCACAATTAATATTAAATTTAACTTATGTCTAGTTGAGACACATCATCAACCTGAAATATTGTATAATCAACCAGATGCACTTAGCTGAGTATGTTAGACTTTATGAAAGGTGGTGTGTCACCCAGTCACATTATAACTCAAGACAGACACTTTGATTCATCTGTCCTTGTGGGAGCTGAGATAACAATTCATGAGGCCACATAAAGACTGAGCAGTTGACTATAGGCTTATCAACCTGTTAACAGAGAAATTAGGAATGCATATTTCAGGTGTGCTTATGCTCAGTGTAAATCAGTAGAGGCCCACCAAGGACAAATGCAAAGTTATGTTCATTAAAATGGCAACAGAGAGGCTTAAGCAATTGACCTGGTGCTTTGTATCATCTGGCTAATTAGCATATGATTGCTGTTAGAGGAGATGGAACTTGGCCTCTGTCAGAATTTCTTTTAAACTTGTGGATTTATTTTGCAGCAAGCCTTACCTGACAGTAAGTGTGGCAGACAGTCTGCCACACTCAGGGACACTGCCCCTAACAGCCTTCCTTAGTGTGAAACCTGCCAAAATCAGAGCAATGCTAACACTTACTCTGTCTTCCCTTATGATGTTGACACTTTTTCAACACATTACCCAAATGCAAAGGTGTCGTGTGCTGAAGCCAGAGGTGCAGGTGACAGCAGCTTAAATGGTGACAGAAAAGGCCAAGGTTTCGATATTCACACAGTAATTTCCAAGGAGTTTAAGGGCCAAAATCAACGGCATGATCCAGCTGTTGTGCAGTGCTCTAGGAACACAAAGCAGCTGTAAGGATGACTGAGTTTTAATTACAGCAGCGTGAAGTAGCCAGGACATACCAGTGATGTTGGCTGAAATACTGTGTGCTGGAAAGGAGTGCTCATCATTATCATTTTGGATATCCGTCTGCATTTCTGATGGCATCACGATCAAGAAAAGTTTCTGACTATTTGCATGACATTATTTCAGTATGCAAATATCCAAATCCCAAAACTTTGCTTATCTGTTGTTTCACCAGGGTTCCAAAACTGATTCTGGGGACACTGCCAGTCCAGCACTGGTAACAAATGACCTCCTGCTGTCAGTCCTGACCACATCTCCATATCTTACAGCATTCCTGATCTGCTGAAGGGATTGTGTTCCCTGAAGAAATAGCTCATATGATTTATAGCAACTTTAGCATTTAACTCTACTTCTTTTTTTCCCACTCCTTATCATATTGCATATTAAGCTGGAAACCTTTCCTAACAATTTCCAGTCAAACAAGAAGACTTTATGTGATCAGTCACCTTGATTTTGACATTTATTGGCTATTCATTTCAATATGTGCTCACAGCATTGGTACTCGGCATGGGAACTCTTCAGCCCCTCCTCTGATTCAGTCATTTGTTAAGCTTTATGCACAAAGGACAAATGCTATGGTTATTTTACATGAGCCTGTATTGTTGTTCTGGGCATGGATCCTTCAGTTTTCACAAGTTAGAATCCACACAAGATTTCATGAAATAACCTTTATGTTAGTTTTACTGACATCAGGAGGAAATCTGTGAGGAATTTGCTGAGTAGGATGTCAGGAGAGGACAGGCTGCATGCTATTCCAAGTCTTTCCCCCGCTGATGGCAATTTGTTCTCCCTCAAGCTCTTGAAATGGAAGGTTAGATTAGGCCCTGTTACTCGTTCTGTTGGAATCAGATAACGCAGAGGGGTTCTTTGAACTTAATGTGTAGCCCCTCTTGCTAATTGGACATGATGATTTTGGCTCCACAGTACTTTCCCTTAAAATAATAATGATAATGTTATAATACACACACACACACACAAAAGTTGATTTAAAGCCATGATATGGTTGTTGCCGTTGGCAATAGGTTTGTAGTCTGGATCTCAGTTGCAGATCTAACTGATTAGAGTATGACATGAAAGTGCTGGGTTTCTGACAGGCTAACAAAGTATTGCAGGGACAGTGCAGCTGGGTTAGTGAACCAAAACTGGGATTTGTTTCTCTGCTGTGGCTTTGGGAACTGTATCTTTCAGGGGCTCTGCTGTGCAAGAATTTGGAGTGGAGCACAGTGATGTGCAGAAGGGCCTGGGTACACAGCGTTGATTGAGGAGAACTCAAGCACTGAGCAAGACAAGTTTCTGCCCAGTGATTATGGATCAATATATAGGACTAGGAATGAAAAAATATTTAAATATACTCAAATGGGAGGCCAAATAATATATAACTTCCATCAGATCTGAAACACCTCACAAATGATGATGAGAGCTAGAAAAAATTTTAAATAGTGTCAGTCTGTATCTGAAAGTAGTAGGTACCAATTAAAAAAGACCTTTCCTTCCAGGGGCATTGCTGTGGATTTTTAAATAAAAAAAAAGGGAAGGGAAGGGAAGGGAAGGGAAGGGAAGGAACATTTTCTCAAGTGTCAGGAGGAGAGGGTGATGGGGGCATCAAACTGACCGTGTTGGCTTAGAAATCCTCAGCAAGGACCACCCAGATAGGAATGGATGGCTTTAGCCTAAGGGATCTGGATAGCCACAACTAAGTTTACCCAGCTTCAGTGGTGTGACTTTCACAGGACAATCATGTAGAAATACAACTCCTCATACCACCTCAGAGACTGATTAAAATTATCCGTTTTCATATTGGTTATTCCAGGTCATTTTCCTGGGCTCTGAAGATGTTCATTATTTTGTCTGGCTGGAAGAGATTAAAAGGAATCACATTTCCAAGAGGTTGTGATAGGAACAGTGGGAGCTGTGGCTGCACTGAATGAGCAATGCTGTGCAGTTGGACTCCAACACTGTGTGAAGCAGACTCTGGATGTGACAGACTCTGGACTGTGAATGAACTAGGTCAAGGCAATGCAGCCTTCATTCTTGCTTTTGCAGATGACTCCTGTGGCTTTTTCAGTCATGACAGTCAGAGGAAAGCAATAAACCTAATGACTAATACAATGACGAACAGAAAAAATATCTGACCTTAGCAATCCTGGGGTTTCCTGAATTTCTAAATTTTCAATCCTAAAGTACTAATCTGTTGTGCTGTCTAACCCCAGTCTCTTGTCCTCATATGCATCATGATTTGAGCAAACAAGAAAAGGTCTTTGTTCCTTTTGACAGTG